AAAATAGAAAGGAAAACGGGATGAACTACGGTCGAGAAAATAAAAACGGAAAAAAAATCATTTTCAGAAACATGAGAATAAAGAGAAAATGAAAAGGATGTTCTCAATTTTGATTTTGGGAAAATGGGTCACCAAACGACAATCTTCACAACGTTTTCATTTTTGCTCATCGAAAAACATGAAAAACATTTTCAAAAACGTAAACAAACACGCCCCATATCCACTATTGTAAACGTTTTCATATTTGCTCCTCAAATAACGTGAAAAACGTTTTCAAAAACGTAAACAAACACGCCCCATATCCACTATTGTAGTCATTTACTTTAAAAAATAAATTTAGGAGACTTATTTTTTTTTTTGAAAAGAAATTTAGGAGAGTTAGTAAATAATTTATTAATGAATAATGCTGCACGCTTGTGAAGTATTAAATTATTTTATAAGAATTCCTTAGATTTGCCTACAACTGGATTCAGATATAAGTGCAGAAATACAGAGCAAATGGAATACTAGAACACATATCCACTATTTTTTTTACATAATTTTCAGGTGTTTTATTTTATCTTGCTCAAAGGTCGTGTTCTTGCTTAGAATCAACTAAACCGTCCTAGCCGTCGGATGAGAATAATAATCCCTTGAAGATGTAGAGCGCCAAAAAGGGATCTTTTGACATCAAAAGGCAGAAGATTCCGACTCATGCACGTAACCATGAGACCTCTCTCTCTCTCTCTCTCTCTCTCTCTCTCTCTCTCTCCCCCTCCTCTATCTCTCTCTCTCTCTCTCAATAACTCTATTAAATTGATTATGCCATTCAGATATGCAAATTCGCGGCAATGCATATTTAGAATGTTCCAAAATGTCTTTTAATGGCCCCCCAAAACCTTGAATGCTTCAACATCTTCCCACTTCTGACTTCCTCAATTCACTCTCTTTCCCCATTCTCTTCCGACCCATTTTCCAATCAACCAAAAATGAAAAAAATAACAATAATTAAAAAAACCCCTCCTTCTCTTTTCAAGCAATCCCTTTTCACAGTGAACACATTATCTTTTCTGGGTTCAGAAGCAAATTAAGCCACAATCTTTTTCAGTTTTCAGTTTTTTCTTACCATTATTGGAGATTTACAGAGAGAAAGGTTATGTATGAAGGTCCTCGGAGATCAGATAATGAACATGGGGAGGCAGATTCTCGCAAAATGCCGGTTCTGGTTCGTCGTTTCCACCGCTTTTCTTCTCTGGTACTTAATCCTCTGCTTTTACAATTCAGAATTCACGCCAAGCAAGAGGCCCATTTCTTCATTAGGTAACGATTTCGGCAATTCTGCCAATATCCAACAGCCTAATTTCGTTCTTTTACGTGGAAATTCCAACAAACGCATCAACCAATTATTGCCCGAAGAAACAGGGGACATTAACAATAATAATACCAACAAACGAGAAAGCCCCAGAAATATCCTTCATTTTGAAGATCAAATTTTGGTTTCTGACCAAAAACTGAAGCCTAATATTGAAGATTCTTGCTTAGGCCGGTACGTTTATATTCATGATTTACCGACGAAATTCAACGACGATTTGCTAAAGAACTGTCGTTCGCTTAGTGACTGGACTGACATGTGTGAGTTCACGTCAAACTCTGGTTTCGGCATTCCTCTTTCCAACGCCGAGAGGGCGTATTCTAACAAAGGCTGGTACGCCACGAACCAGTTCTCGTTGGAGGTTGTTTTCCACAACAGGATGAAGCGGTACGGGTGCTTGACAAACGACTCGTCGTCTGCGTCGGCGGTCTTCGTGCCGTACTACGCCGGCCTCGACATCGCTAGGTACCTCTGGGGTGGTCACAACACGTCGGTACGAGATTCCGATTCGGTGGAGCTGGTGAAGTGGCTGAGGGAGAAGCCCGAGTGGAAAAGGATGTTTGGGAGAGATCATTTTGCTGTGGCGGGAAGGATTACGTGGGATTTCAGGAGGTTGAGTGACGACCAATTTGATTGGGGAAACAAGTTTCTGCTCTTGCCTGAGTCGAAGAACATGTCGGTTTTGACGATCGAATCGAGCCCGTGGCACAACAACGACATCGGGATACCGTACCCGACGTACTTCCATCCTCTGAGGGACGAGGAGGTGTTCCAGTGGCAGGGCAGGATGAGGAGGGAAAAGAGGCGTTTCCTGTTCTCGTTCGCGGGCGCGGCGAGGCCTAATATTCGGGACTCAATTCGCAACGAAATCATCGACCAGTGCAGGGCCTCAAAGGGGAAATGTAAGCTCTTGGAATGCAGTTCCGGATCAAGCAAGTGTTACAAGCCGGATTTTGTCATGAAAATGTTCCAGAGTTCTGTTTTCTGTTTGCAGCCTCCAGGGGATTCAAGTACTAGGAGGTCGGCTTTCGATTCGATCTTGGCAGGATGTATTCCAGTTTTCTTTCATCCGGGGTCGGCTTATCTTCAGTATTTGTGGCATCTTCCGAGAGATTTCACCAAGTATTCTGTGTTCATACATGCGTTTGATGTGAAGAATAGGACAGTGAGTATTGAGAAGACTTTGGGTGGAATTCCGAGGCAGAAAGTTGCGGCCATGAGAGGAGAAGTTATAAGGCTGATTCCAAAAGTGATATACGCTAGTTCTAAATTGGAGACTCTTGATGATGCGTTTGATATCTCAATTAAGGGAGTTCTTGAAAGAGTGAGCAAGATAAAGAAGAAAATGGAAGAGGGTAAGGATTCTAGTTTTGATTACCCGGAAGAACTCTCTTGGAAGTATAACTTTTTTGGGACAGTGGGGGAACATGAATGGGATCGTTTTTTTTTAAGAATGTAATAAGAGGGTAGAAAACTAGTAGGATTAATAATTGTTTAAAAGGCAAAAATAAAATAAAATAAAATAAAAAAAACACAGGAGACGAGATTTTGTAGTTGTACACAACACAGGTAACTCCAAATAGTCAAATTTTTCTGTACATGTATTTTCTTGTTGCCTTTGCTATATATGTTTTCTTGTCTTCTTTCTTTAGTTTCTCTCTCTCTCTCTCTCTCTCTCTCTCCTGATACATCTACAAGAAAGGGCTTGGGGGGCTAAAGACAAGTAGTTATATGATCTAATAGCAATCCAAGTGATTTGGTTACGGCATACTTTAATGGATATATGCTGAAATGCTGGGGAGATTTCGGAACAAGATTTTCACCCTTATTTGCAAGCTCAACGTTGATTGATATTAGCAACGAAAAGCATGCAAAACTCGTAGAATCTAATGAAAATCATCACTCTCATAATCATTAGTGTGTACTATGTACACACGCAGTCATTGAAAAGAAAAATAAATAATAAAAGAATGGTGCTAAACCATAACTGTGAGACTACGTATTAAGCCAAGTCCTTATCTTGCTTTATCAGAAAATAAAGAGAGAGGTTTGAAGAGATTCATCCCAAATGAAAATGTCTTTTTGTTTGAGCTTGGAGGAACAAAATAAAAGAATTTTCCAATCCAATAGATCATCAATTTTTGTAACAAATAAATAAAAAGCAACTCCGCAGCAGGACAAAACTATTCTTGCTCTGGTCTATTAATTTGCAGGAATATTTTTAATAAATATATTTTATAGACAAAACCCACCAACCTAGCGTTTGTAGTCCAACGGTTAGGATAATTGCCTTCCAAGCAATAGACCCGGGTTCGACTCCCGGCAAACGCATATGATTACTTTCAATTTTTCCCCTGTCTTTTGTTTTTTCTTAAAAAAATCTTTTTGTTCGCGACTAAACACCAGAACCAATCATGAGGTAGGAAAATATCAGGGATAACCAACCAGATAGTTAAGCGCCAAAAGCAACAACGACAACCTCAAGAGCAATCTCGTCAAATCGCGCAAACTCCTTTAGACGCCATCTATTTTCTTCAAAATTCCGTGGCCCAAATTAAGCCGCTTCGAAATCTGAACCACATATTTTTGCTCTCCTCTCCTCACGAATGCTTCCAACGTCTCCGTCCTCTCGCTCCATGGCCAGCGGCGCGTGCCCCTCCTTCGCTCGCCACGGGATCGGCACCTCAATCCCATCAGAACTTTCCAGAAGCTCCAGAACCTTCTCCATCCGGATCTCCGCCAACACTAACAACGTCACCACTCGCGATCACGACCAGCTCGCCCAAGGCCCCTCTTGCATCTACGTCGGTCCCATCGAAACCGCCAGCAAAGAAACCTTGGAAGCCCTCTATCGCCAAGTAACAACAACTTCGTTTTCTCCTCAATTTTTATTTTTTTATTTCTATTTTTAGGCTCAAAATTTAAATATATATAATTTTTTTTAATTTTGTTTTGGTAGGCACAGGATGCGTATTACAGCGGAAAGCCTTTAATAGTCGACGACATGTTTGATAGAGTAGAGGTTTGTAATTGTAGTACATAGTTTTTTTTTTTTTTTTTCCTTAAAGGAGATTTTGTTTAGAGGATGAATTTTAAATTTTTGAGCAGTTGAAGCTACGGTGGTACGGCTCAAAATGCGTTGTGAAGTATCCTCGTTGCAGTCTTAGGCGACAATCGACGTATGCGGATGCTGAGGTAAATCTCTTTTTAGGATCATTTTTAGTCTTATCAATACCTTAGAGCTCGTTTAGTTGGAGGATTCGTTCTCTGATTCGAATTATGGTATATGATTTGTTGTAGTATTTTCTCACAAAAAATACACGTAAATTGAAAATAGTTCTAATCTCATGATTTTAATCTATAAATCAAACGGGCTCTTAGTTTTGTACAAGTTTATTGCATTTGGGTGCTTAGCATGTGACCAATTTGTGAATGTCCTATCATGTAGGAAGTGAGTATATGATTCCCGGAAAAAAGACAAACAAATAGTGTATCATATTGAAAGTCTAGACTTGAGGGCATGGTGTTAGATTTACTTTTATATTTGGGGATTAGGTGTAGTGGGTTTTCATCATTATTATTATTATTATTTAAACTTTCTACAATAGGTACTACCGGTAGTGCATATTTTTGAATGTTGGTATGGTTAAAAACTTAAAATCACGTCAAAATGAAAGACATGCAAAACTGTTAGAACCTTATACAAATCTGATGGTTTCAAACAGAATTTTACTGTAGGGAATTAAATTTTCATGCCCTACAGTAGAATTCTCCTAATCCTTTTTATACATTTTTTTTTTCTGGACTTGAATATTGAGTGACATGGATGTAGGGCAGGAAGATTTATCTCAGGTTTTCACATTAGCGAGCATATGGGTCCTTTTTTTAGCCATTGGCAGTTCAGCGTGCGCAGTGCCAATAATCTACACTATTGGCCTTGCTTATCAAGATGCATCCAATTCAGGGCTTTCTTACGTTGAACAAAGACCTGCCTTGGAGTTTCTTGCCACTGTAAATGGCATCCTATTCATGGTCTTTGGTTCTCTGGTTGGCGTCCCAATTGCCTCAGCTTCTGGTGAGTCACTACAATCGGTTGTGGGATGTGAATCATGTTCTCAATTTTTCAATCATTCTTTTTTCACCCTGTTGTCAAATACATCAGTTATGATTCAGCTTCATGTCTTAAATACTGATTTTTAGAAATCTTAAGATTATCTAAGAAATTAATCTCGTTAAGTGATATTATTATTTCTCCTATGCAATTGACTTTAGTACATGTGTTTACACTTTACAGTTAAAGTTCTTAAAGGACTGTGGAGAAATGACTTGGTAGCACTGAAAGGGGCATGCCCAAATTGTGGGGAGGAGGTTAGTCAATCATCAGATTTCATTAGTCTAAAAGTGTTTAGAAGCTTTTTGTTTGCCCCTTTGTCCATTCTCACCGTCTCTGTGGCGTGGTTCTGCAGGTATTTGCTTTTGTGAAATCGGATCAGTCTAATGACTCTCCTCATAGAGCAGATTGCCATGTGTGTGAAAGTTTATTAGAGTTCCGCACCAAGGCTGAGGTAATTAGTCCATTTCTGTTTCGCGGACCTGAAAAGTAAACTTATGTTCTTTTTGAGAGCTAAGCCACTAATGAAGCCAAGAGATGTAACGTTTAAATTCATTAAGAATAGTCTTAAATGCGGATACTAATTACAGGATTTGTTATCCTTTTTATGTTCCTGTAAGTCTAATTTAGAGAATTTGGAAAGTACTTTTCCTAGTTGTTGGTCGTGGAGCTTAGGCTATGTGTCCTTATTTGGCGTTATTACAGTTTCTCTTTTTATTGATAAATGCCCATCTTATAGTCTTTTTTTTTTTTTTTATTGGCAAAAAACCTCGTGTTCTTTTATGAGTCATGGCTTGTTTGTTTACTGAAAAAGATGCTTCGAAAAACTCTGTATTTGGAACTTTCTGGGTTTTCTTTTGCATTCCTCATGTTGGGTTTCTCATTGTGCAGAAAACGATTTCACCGTTGGGTAGGAGATGGATTTATGGTCGCATTTATCTTGTGTCCAGAAGAAACCGACGTCAAAGATGGATGTGATATTTTACCGGTGTTATAACTGAGCTTTATGTACAGTGGCCACTCATTCTTTTTCCTTTTCTCTCTCGCTTTTTTTTTTTGTTTTTTTTGTTTTTTTGTTTTGCTCCTTCAAAGTTAAATTGTAACATTACAAACATTACAAACAGAAACGTCTTTTTGTGAACTCCGTGGAATATTTAGCTGTTAAAAATAAAATAAACGACAGAATCAGGTGGATGGAAATTTTGGCAAGATTTGAATTGTTAACAATAGGATTTACAGCACCTATTCCGGTTTAGAAGTCTACCGTATCTTTTACAACTTCGTTATTAAAATTCGTAAGTACATCGTTCAAATATACAAGTTATCGTATTATTTTTAAAATTCATAAGTCTATTCTAACTTGTACAACTACAATGTTTAAAATTTGCATGTTCTAACGTAGAATGCACAAATTATCATCTTCTCAGCACAGCGTTTGAAATTCTTCTCTTGATACTAGTATAAGTTTCCTAGGAAGGACCTTGTAGTCCTAAATAAACAGAAAATTGCAAAATAAATAAATAAATAAAATAACAGAGCAAAATAAAATATTATAATACCAGTGGAGTGTAATAATAACAAGGGGAAAATGATGGGAGACTGAATCGTTGCTTTACTTATTACGAATTATGATAACTTTTAAACAACCTGACTTCCTAAGTCGGACTACAGACTTGTAAAAGTTATTTTTACATGTATATATTTTTGACATTAGATTCAAGTCAAAATCACATTAAAAAAAAAAAAGTATATCCAATCAGCTCAAAGCAGAATCCTACAGGCTATAGCAATCCAGTGTAAAATTCTCATATTGGTTATTAGAAATGATAAATCATTACATCCATAATATTAGAATAAGATTATCACATAAAACATCATGACAATATTTTGTTGTATGAATCACCAATAGTGAAAACATCATCTTTTTTCTACCAAAAAACGCAATTTCTTTACGCAACTATTCTAACAAGTGGAACCATCTTTCTTTACGGAACTAACAAGTAGAACCCGCAATTTTGTTAGTATAGTGATGCATTATTCGTACTATATTTTTCTTCATTTTCTTGATCGAAGAAAATGACAAGGTCAGTTTAATAAAGAAGTTGAGAACTCGATTTCATAATAAACAATTTTGTATGTCAGAAACATTAAAGCAGATTTATAAATTTCATCAATACGAGTTGAAAAACAGTATGATGGTTTTCCGGTATGACCAACTCGCATGTCAATCTGGCAGAGGAGATTCCCAAAATCCACGTTTTATTTACGTCAAAGGACTTCCTTCTAAGTACTTCGAAAAGAATAAAGAGAAATAACATTTGAACCAAGTAATCTAGGACCTCAAGAATTTTGCTCATTGAAACTTTATTTAAGGTTGCAGAACCAAAATTTCGATAACCAGTTGTAGAGGGTCATGAATCGCTATATAGGAGCTAATGTTTATGAAGCCAACTGTTGAAACATCTATTTACCACAAACCAGAATGCTAGCACACCCATGCGCTGCAAGTTCAGAATGATAAAAACAATCATAAAGCAAAGATCAACTAATAATGACTACTTAAGAAATTCTCACTGTTTGTTAAGCTACGCAATAGCACCTCAAGCATCCGAACCTAAAATCTCAGCAACTCCTTACGGATAGAGATGGTCGCTGAATCTGTAACACTTTAGCCAATTAGAAGTGACCCAAGCTGTATACCAGAATCCATGCAAGCTGGAAAACAGAAAGTGAGTAAAACATGAGTAAACAGAATCCACTTTGATGTATAAAAGGCATAGTTCTTTACAGAGAGAAAATCAAAGAATTGAGAAAGTTAGGCTACCAGAAAAAGAGTTATGGAAGCAAAAAGCCCTTCTTGGAGCAGAGCTCCATGACCACCAAAATCTTCTTCATCAACCTTAAGTATCATTGCATAATAACCGTATATAATCCCAGAGGATAATGCAAGAAAACTGTAAACGGCAATTAACACAATCAGGTTAGAAAACAATATGATGTTAAAACTTCCAAAATAACACAGGAATAAAGTTGCATGAGTGAAAGGTCAATGACGTGGCATTTAGCATCTACAGTTGTAGAAGTGGGTGGATTAAAGATATCCAATCTGATGGAACTTGTAAACATGTATTTCTATTGATAAAGCACGATATCACAGTGGCAGCAATATTGTCCCTCATGAACCCTATTTAGTTTTTCCTTTATACCAAAGTCATCTAATGTCCAACTCCTTTACAACCTTTTGTTAACAACCATCAATGAAATAACATATGTTACGCCAATGGCTCAATAGAAACTAGTGACTTTAAGAAGACTTAAGGGAGGGCGACCTTTGCTATCAATGAAGCACCAGGCCTTAAGATGAGTACTTACCTGACCTTTACACAATTTGTATTAGTGAAACAGTTCAATGCTTTGTTTCAATCACAATCCTAACCAGTTAGCCTAGCAGCATCTAAGTGTAAGAGAAATATAAACACCCTGCCCCCATAAAAAATATTTTAGCAAACCAGAGTGGCCACCCCAAAATTTTGCCAGTGACCAGCCTTTTCAGCTCAGGTATCAAATCCTCAAGCCACTCGCTAAAGTGAGCCCCATCTACAAACACATTTTAATGCAGTTTGAATCTTTATTTAACACCACACGCACAATCTATTCTGGTTCACAAGATAAATTATAAGTTCTTAACTATTGAATCTTTGTCAAACAATGCTTATAAAATGCCCTTTCTTGGAGCTAAACCTATTTCCTTCCAACCATTGTATCATATCTATAAGGTACAGAGCGTCCATGAACTTAACAAGGCAGATTGCTACCCTAATTCCTCTCTGCTTCCTTGTTCTTCTCTGCGATTCTTAAAAAACAAGACAAGCGGAGCAATCCTCTTCACAGACAAGGCAACCGAAAAAACAATCAAGTAATTCCAAACCCTCCACTTCTTTACAGAAAAGTTTATCCACAATCTAAAAGACTCCCAACATTACCTATCTGCATTAATTCCTATAAATCTGAGATGTGTAAAGATCCACGAAAAGTCTAAGCTAGGGCCTTCCAACTATTGAACAAAGAGAACAAAGATTTATCTGTAAATCATAACTGAATCATAGCTTTAAAAGATTGCCCAAATCATCAACTTACATGATAAACCATATACCGCCGACCAAAGGTATCGCTCCCCATAGTAACCCACATACCAGGGCTACCGCTTGTCGAATCCAATGCAAGACATCACCCAATTGATCCTGCAAGAATTGTGCTAAAGGGATCAGCATCGGTTTTATACGTTAATTTGCTTAACTGAGACAAAGAGAAGTCTAAAAATAAGCTCAAGCTAATCCACTTGAAGAAATCCAGAAAACTAGTTGAGAATATTATCTCCCAAAACATGTTTTTATGTACCAAATCTGATGTTTTAAATCGGAGCTTCCAATGATACTCCGTTTAGATTCCCAAGAAACACTGGAAATTGGACAAACAGTACAATCCCGACACCGGAGTTATGGCATTCTACTCTCTCTCCCCCGGCAATCCTTTCTTTTCCCACACTTTCCCAATAACCAAACAAACAAAACAAAAAGCAAAAATGGTAGAACTGAAAGGACGAAGAAATCGAGAAAACCAAGTACCTTGTCCCACGAAGCTTCTGGATCCAATAACTTCGCGAATTTGAAAGGCGACAAATGCCCGTTCTGGTGCTGCTGTGGACCGTTCAATTTTACGGATTTCCCTTCTTTCATGCTTCGAAATTTGTGAAAAAAATCGACCAACAAAATCAGATTAAAGCTATCCGAGATTGCGAAATTTCTGAAGTTGCAGAGATTCGTGGATTACAATTCGGCTAAATTTTCCGATCAGTGATGTTTTATTGTTGAACAAAGACGAGAGTTACAGTAAGGATCGGGAAATTTTAAGGGTTTTTATGATTTGGCGGAGGAAGAAGCGGAGAAGCTAATTTGATTTGATTGAGGAATGGGGAAATGAATCGAAATTAAATTGGATGGAAAATTGGGTTTGAGGAATAAATAAATAATGATTCTCAAGATAAATAAATAAATAAATAGAATTATGAAAGGATGCTTCGCTGTACTGTTTGATTCTCGCGATGGTGGACTTGCACGTGACATACGGAGAGGGAACACGAACGCCAGCGTTTTTAGTTTTCTTTTTTTCTTTTTCTTTTTCTTTTTCTTTTGACAATATATTTTTTAACATTTAAGTTGATGTCACTTGACATTGGCTTAATTTGGTAGTGATGTGGATTTTAAAAAAAATATTTTTAGTTGTGCCGAAGAAAGAAGCAGTTATTTCAAGAAGCAGCTGGGTGTTTGATAAATTGTAATTATAATAGCTGTGCTGGTTCTAAAATCAGTATAATAGCGTTTGGTAAATTTTGAGGTGAAATTACTGTGGGTATGTAAAATGACCAAAATAGACATGATATGAAACTTAAATATATATAATTGTTTTTTTTATTGAAAAATACTTGTTAACTTTAAAAACACATAATGTTATGATTTTAAATTTTTTAACAATCAATTTATGATAATTAATTCTCTTTTTTTTTTCATTTCTTCATTCATAATATAATTACAACTAAAAGAAGCATTAGTGACAATTACTCAGGGACAATTGTAGTCTTCGAGTTGTGGAATTGTTTTGTGCTCTCTCTCTTGCAAAGTTTAGCAGAGACAGTTGCAGTCTTGATAACGCAACCAAATACCGTAATTATCAATTTTGGTGGGGTTCTTCTCAAAAATTTGTAAGAAAATATGATAAATTTGTTAAGAAATTTCATGCCAAGAAACGAGCTCAACCAAATAATAATTAATTATAGGACCACAAATAAAGAGCATTTCAAACATATTCATATCCATACACACACACTTACGTAAATGAGCAAATTCACACATTGATGGGTGAGGCCCTCGGATCGGGCTAGGTGGAGCCACCTAGCTTCGATTAGGATTATCATTTCCTAATCAAAATACCATTGGTATAATAGGATTATTAATGAAGCATGCTAAAGTGAAGCTATGCCATTTATTTATTTACTTGCATTTGATTGTTTAAGTAAAAAGAAATAAATATATGAAGTATTGTTTTATGGCACATTTTGCTTATTTTTTTTATGTGCTTATTTTTTTGATAATAAAAACTTTATTGATAAAATTCAATAACAAGGGTAGAGGACAAAGGTATCCTAAAATAAAAAAGAAACAAAAATGGCCAGGTGTGAAAAACTGACTAACATACAAAAAGAGCAAGATAAACACATAAACGGTATCTCCAATCAATTCCCTATTACATCTTTCCAATTCAAAATGACCAAAGTAAACGGGAACCCCTGAAGCAGCCCATAGCAATGCATAGAACTTTATCTTCTCAAAAATATCAATTGGCCCCATCACCTTTTCCTAAAAAATTATGCCATTCCGTTCCATCCACAGAGATCATAACAATGAGAGCACCATACTATTCCATAGGACTATGGCCTTCTTATTAGTTCTTTCGATTCTGGATCAGAAGAACCAAACAAAACACGTAAACAAATGTATATTGTTAGCAACCTGGTATAATTATTTGAAGGCATGGAATTTTTTTTGGAATATGTTTATATTTTTGGCAGAGAAAGGAAACAATGATGAGGATACATCCCTGCAGCAACAACTTTTCTGATTGCCCAACCATGATGGGGAGTAAATACCTGTGCATACGCCTTGGAAGCTGGATCTTTAAGGGAATTGCCCCTGCCACATGAGCATTGGTACCTGTTATTCCATGCATAACTAGGCATGCACCTTAAGCACAATATATAAGCACCTACTTTGAAGCTTAAACTGGAATCTCATTGCTAGTTCAGCAAATAGTCCACTTAGGCAGATATATTCAAAGCCAATGCCTTCGGCAAATAGTTTGTGGAAGAAGGCTATTAGCTCTCTTTGCTCATAGGAATCAACTAAGAACCAGCTATATATTCCAAATCAAAAATTGGGTGACTCTTGAGCTTTATTTTCTCCATTTTATTACAGTGGTGGAAAATAAATCAGAAACATTCAAATTAGTTCAAAATAAATCACTCACTAAAATTAAAACCACAGTTGAGTTTTTGCAACTAAACTGAAAAAGTATATGAAGTCTACTTCTTCAAATACCAAATACATGTAATATTACTCATCTTATACAACAACCATGTTACACGTAAGGGGTAAGACAAAACCGAAAGCTAATACCATTACTGAATTTCTTGTGCCAATTTGATCAAATTTCTTGTATCGGGCAAATTATACCGAAACGCAAAGAAAGCAAGGGCCAATTAGTTTCTACCATCCCAAATTGTAAGAACAATGATTATTCACTTCAAAACTTTCAGCTCAACAATTTGGCGTATTTTCTCTCCACATTCTAATCATCATTCTAGCTGTTAAGAGTTCAATGAATGTCTTCAAATTCAACTCAACCAAAGAAAACAACCTTGGAAGCCAATACCCAATTGTGCCAAACCACATATTACTTGAATCGACTGTGTAAATTGTGGAAAATTAATTTTCCAAGAAACTCAAATTGACTACAATGTACTTCATGTGTTGAATCTACAAATTAACGAAGTAAAGCAAAGAACAAAAGGAGAAAAAAAATTACAGATAAAGGATAATACATACTCTGCAATGAGTATTTGCTCGAAGAGCACCCAAACCATGTCAAGCCCACGCTTCACTCTCAACAAATTTCTCGAATGACTACCAGCATTCCTTACGCAATTCGATGCCATATCACGATCGAGTAAAGCCTGTAAGGTCGCAATAGACTTCGACGCCTCCGAGAGATCGTTCACCTGAGATCATTCCGATTTTGGTCAAAGTTAAGCAAACGAATTTTTTTCTTCAATCGGATTATTCACGGATTTTCCCGGGAAAATGCAATAGGCGGTGGGGGAAAAAAAGTACCTTGGAGACAAATCAGAAGCAAATTTCGAAATACTAAGATTAATGGAGTACTTACAGCAAAAGCGTGCTTAAGAGGGCTGAGGTTGACTGGCGAAACTCGGGAGAGGAGACCAGAAGAACAGGGAGGCCGGTGAACAACCACTCGTGCGAAAGAGATCGGAATGGAGCGCAGACAACGGGACCAGCGAACGGTGAACGGAGAACGGAGTGTAGACTGGCGAGAGAGAGGAGCGAGAAAGGAGAGAGAAAGGAGCGAGAAAGGAGAGAGAGAGAACAGGGAGTGATGGAGCTTGCAAGAGGTTTTCAGTCACGAGAGAGAGAACGGGGAGTGATGGAGATGAGATGGGTAGATGGGGATTATTTCATTTTAACGTGAGTAAAATGGGAATAAAATTTTTTCATTAATGTGAAAGAAGGGGATTCCCACATAAGTTAGAATCCAAAGCACCCTCAACGCTGCTTCTGACTTTGTTGTGAAAACAGCTTAAAATTATTGAAGAATCACTTATTTTACTTCTTACTAAACACCAAAAATGACTTAAGCTGGACAAAAAAGTGCTTTTTAAGGGTCTAGAAACTATACCAAACGAAGCCATTGCCTTAATTTGATACGATAGTTTTGTTTTGAAGTAAAATTTCCTAAAATTTTGAGAGAATAAGAGAAATAATATATTAGATGAGGAAACAAAAATTAGTGAATTTTTTTAGTAGTCTTTGTAAAAATTGACTATCGGTAATTTTTTATTTTTTAATCGTCAAATTTGTATCAGAATTTATTTGTTTTTTTTCAATCTGATGTGATTTTAACCAAATTTAACGGTTAAAAACTGAGACTACTAATTTCTTAAGAATTAATAGCATAATTGGAGAAAGATATGTCTAAAATTGCCAAAATAACACCATCCTCCAACTCTGTAATTAGTTTATGCCCCTTATTTCTAAAGTAAAATTCTTATTTTGTCACTATTTAAGAGCATCTCTAATAAATTTGGCATCGTTTTTTGTAATAAATTTGGCATATGTCAAATTTTTATGCCTGATTTAATACCAATCATAATACATGTTAAATTTTAGCATCCAATTTCTGTGAGTTTATATATTGGTTTTTTTTTTTTTTTTTTAATTTAAGCGTGGGGGATTCAAACTTTTCGTCTTATAGTGGAGTTGAGTGTGTAGTTACCGTGTTAGGTTATACCTGTAATCACGTGTTTTTTTTTTATCACTTGTAATATTATCATTTTAAAATTATTTTATAATAAAAAAATGTTTAAAGTTGTTAAGCTTAATAATTAAAACAAATAAGAGATATAACATTTAAAATAACAGGCACAAAATAATATAATAGTACGCTATTTCACGTTTGAAGTACCAAATACAACATTAGTATTAGCACCTGACTTTTGTATTGAAGATTATCTACAATACCTCGAACAACAAATATTTGAGCAGCACAACAATTAAAAATTGAGATGTGATTTTATGTTAAAATTTTTTATTCAAAATTAAATATAACTATTTTAAAATAAAATTTTACCGAAATAAAATTTAAATTCTAACTTTAAATTCATAAAAAAAACATGGCCTAAAGCTCGTCACCGTCACGTTGGCGCTTCTGGGCACGGCATTGATGAAAACATGAACATCAGAACATGGAAACATGCACGCTTGCACAGCACGGAAATATCAAAACTCAAAACCCACTCGCTCAATAAAACGCGTGGTCAGGCAAATCAATAGACGATCCTTAACATTTCCTCAGCTATGAAATTTCTCACACTTTGCCCTCAAATTTCAATAAGACAATCCTGCTTTTTGGTAGAATTTCAATAGACAATTTTGAACCTTATACAACCATACCATCCTACTTTACCTTCCTTTTTTTTTTTATTTTTTTATTTTGGAGGGGATGAATTCAATTCAATCACTAATCCCAAGTGTTTAAATGAACCCCCAAAAAAAAAAATTCCTGTCAAAGGACAATATAAAAATGAATTTTAAAACAAACTCAAGATACTTAAATTAACGTATAAATAGCTTCATTATTATGTAATAAATAATATACCATTCAGGTGCTTTTTACACAATGATGCGTAACGAGCACGCTAAGAAACTAGTCCCATTAAAAGAAGTAATAGAATGCAGTGATAAAAAGATATCATAATAGAACTTAGACAAATTTTTAGTGAGAAATTCGATTAATAATTAATTTTGATGCTAAGTGAGCAAGATTTTTTTTAAAAGAAAACTTGTATTCAAATAGAAACAAATAAACAAACAACACAATAAAAGGTTAATAACCAAATAGAGAGATTGATGTATACCTGAGGCTTGAGAACGCGAAATAATTTCAGTACACTAAGATCGAGCACACCTAAGGCTCTATTTGAAAAAACTCTTCCATCAAAATAAGCTTCTGAATGCTGGAGGAACAAAACACTAACCTCCACTCAGAGGGGATATCATCATCACGACACATACAAGAGTCTAACTTGACCAAGCAATCAACATTATTGGTGTACAACTTAACTGAGCGGGAGACACAACCAACACTAGATGGTGTGGAAACCACCTTCGTTATTACAAAACAATAAACAAAAAGTGACGAGAACAACATTGCGACACCTTTATTACAATCTAAAACACAAAGCAAAACAAAAAGAAAACTCAAAGCATCATTGGCACAAACCTCCGATGATGACTCAGCCGACGAGAGGATCACGAGAGAATGAAGAAGGCTTCGAGAGCCAAGCAACAAAGCCACACGAAAGAGACCATCAAATCGCAACGAATGATTCACCTTCGCCACCGCCGCCAACCTCCGGAGACGACACCACCCCTGCCAAAGGAAGCCCCCCCCACTGTCAAGATCGAACCTCCGCAAGGACCCAACCACCCAACGTTGGCGGTACCGAAAAACGCCTCCCATACCAATTTCTAATTTCTAAATGAAGCTTGATCCGTCATAACTAAGCCATTCCACAACACACTACCACCATCATTGAAGAGCCCTTGACAAGACGAGCTCGGGAACTGATTTTTATGGCTTGGAGTCTAGCAACACGTTTGGATGCGGTGCTGGAATTCCGGTCAACACTCAAATTTCTTTTCTCTCTCTTGTTCCTCTGTGTCAAAAGACAGCTATGAGCAGATGTTTTTGAGATTTGGCTTCTAATTTCTATGGTTGAAGGAAAAAATTGATTTTTTTATTGGCATAAGTGAAATTAATCTAAATAGTAAATGAGTAAGGCTTCGTTCGCTTTGCGAATTTGAGTTTTTAATTCGAGCTGAGATGTGACATTTTCTGAGAGCTTTTAACTGTATAAACCTATAACTGAAAACTCGAATCGGTGAAATGAATAAGGCATAAATGTATCTTAAATATTCCTGTAAAAGAAAATCCCTACAAGCAAATATCTTAAATAACTGCAAAAAAGATTTGTCAAGTCGCAATTAAAGAAAATATTTTTATGACATGTTTAGTTCATTAATTCAAATTTTTAATTTAAATTGAGATATAATTTTATGTAAATTTTTTTTATTATAATAAAAAAAATAAATGTGATTATTTTTTAAAATTTTTTATTATAATAAAATTCAAATTAACGGGACCTTTAATATTACAACACTCCTTCAATTTCTCATTTTCTCAAAGACAAAAAGCAAAACCGCCAGCCAAGAAATGCCACCTCTCATCCTCGCTGGTTTCTGAAATTCCCAGATCCTCATTTCCACTTCTCCTCTTTCCCGCCCAAGCTTCTCATTTTCCCAAGGCGTTTCGCTTCTGCTTTCAATTTTGCTGTATTCGATCACCGACTTAGGGTTTACAGTGAGGGAGATTGAGAGAGAAGGAGAGATGAGTAGTTCTAAGAACAATGAAAGCAAGGGCTTTTTTTCCGCCATGACTTCCGGTCTCACCAAGTTCGGCAACGCCATGCACCGATCCGTCAACGGGTTCGCTTTTTTTTTTTTTTAATTACCTTTCCTTTCTTAATTCAGATCCTTTTCTTTTGATTTTGTAATTGAATTGAATTGAATTGGACTGTCTAATTCAACACCGAATTTCAACAATATGATGTTGATTCGTAGATTATTGTATGGGATGGATTTTGAGTTCATTGGTTTAATATGCCGGCGAATTCAATTTTATCATTTGAAGTTTGTTGTTCTTGTTGTTGTTGTTGTTGTTGTTGTTTTTCTTTTTCTTTTTTTTTTTAACATTGAAGTTATCGTTCTTTAGTCTGTACTTTATGCAATTTTGTAGCTGATTTCAGCTCCTTAGTTAGTTCATGAACGTAATTAATTTGAGCATATTGTTTTATCCGCCCATGTTGTAGAATAGAAATCTTTCTTTCCTGTTTTTGATAGAAGTGGATTAATATAGTCCTTAGATCTGATAAGTATCTTAGTCATTTAATATAAGAATTTAATGGTTCTCTTGTCTGAATAGAATCATATGCCTGTATAAACTTTACGCGTGCCCCACTTATCAGCTAATTTCAATTTCTTTCCTAAGCACGTGATTCGTCATCTGTAATTTATAAATCATGGAAATAGATGGCTCGTTGTTACAAGAGCGAAGCAATTTCTAATTTGCAGGTTAAGAACTCTACTATGTTAAGGATATTGCATAATTGGGTAATAGCTCAAGTTCCTTGGAAGTGAAAACATGGCATTGACCTTTTGTTTTCCCTCTTCTTTTTCTTAACAATTTCTTCTTCATTATGTTTTGCATTTCTATACGTCCAGAGAATCAATTCCATTATGGTAGCATTGTTCTGTTATTTAGAAGGGTGGTTTTCAATGCCATTGGTCAGAACCCCTCATTCCTGTCAGCTTCACACAATAGATATAGAGAACTTGAGAACTTTTGGCCCTGTTTTTTTACTGTTCAAATCACAAATTCAAGCTTTTTGCTACAATGTTTTCTCTCACAAAAATTTGAAATTTAGTTAAAATTTTCCACTCCCGCGAAAAGAACGGGCATTGTGAATTGTTCACAGTTTAGCCTATTCATAAATTAGTCTTTGATTTAGCAACTGGTTACAGTTTCTTACCAACAAGTGTGTTCTATTAGTTTTGGACTCTTCCCATTTTGCATGTTTTTGCCATGATTTGATTCCATTCTTTGGTTTGTTCTGTATAATGATTGAAAAGAATACGTGCTGGTCTTCTTGGTTGTGATTAAGGAGTGAGTCTTGTCTATTAGAATATGATTTATGTGTTTTTGTCTTTGTTTGTTCTTAGGTTGCTTGGTTATGAAGGAGTAGAAGTTATTAATCCGGAGGGAGGTAAAGAAGATGCAGAGGAGGAAGCTCAGAGAGGAAGGTGGAAGCAGGAGGTATGCTGAATATATGTATATATGTGATTTAGATCATGCTTTTCTTGCGTGTCTACAATTTACAAAGTTTTGTGTTTCCAATGATCAGTTTCCTGTTAAGGACGACAGTTTTCTCTAGATTTTGTGTACTACTTTGTGCTTATATTATGATTAATGACTATCTACTATGAGACACATTTTGTGTTCATATCACAGTTATTCTCAAATAATAAATAATGAACTAGTGGCTTACTTCATTTTTGGCCAATGAACTTGACAGCATTAACCTTACACTAGTCCTGATATTTTGGGTTCGTTTTTGTTTCTAAGGAACGAGACAGTTACTGGAAGATGATGCACGAGTATATAGGTTCAGATATTACATCACTGGTGACACTTCCTGTCATTATTTTTGAGCCAATGACTATGCTTCAAAAAATGGCAGAGGTTTGTTCTGCTGTTCTGCTTAGCATACTTGCAACATTCTTTATAGCTGTTTTATATATATGATGTTTACATGATCTACATTAGTATAAATCACTGCTATGCTTCTAACAGTTAATGGAGTATTCCTACTTATTGGATCTTGCTGATGAATGTGAGGATCCATACATGCGATTAGTTTATGCCAGTGAGTATTGTCTCCGATTTCCTTTCAAATAGCAAATGCAAGACTCGTCTTACTTTTCATTGATGTAATTTATGTTGCTTCTTGCAGCATCATGGGCTATATCTGTCTATTATGCATACCAACGAACATGGAAACCATTTAATCCTATCCTTGGAGAGACTTATGAAATGGTTAATCATGGTGGAATTTCATTTATTGCAGAGCAGGTTAGCTTTTGTAATTGTAATTCTGCAGCATACTCATTTTCTGCACGTTATTCCTATTCTAGGACGTCTCACAATATCTTTTCTACTTTAGGTAAGCCATCATCCCCCGATGAGTGCAGGACATGCTGAAAATGAACGTTTCACTTATGACGTGACATCGAAGTTGAAAACTAAGTTCTTAGGAAACTCTGTTGATGTGTATCCTGTTGGAAGGTAATAGTTGGTTTTCAACTTAATTTCTGATTTCTAATTTCTCTTTCAGTGTGTGTACTTCAAACTTGCTCAGACATCATTTTGCTTTAGTTCACTCTTCTTCTGTTGATCTCTACATCCTTTATTCCTATCCTCACTCAAGGATTCGGGCTTGAAACTCTTCTTTTAGTAATCATGGGAGATATGACTTATGGAGTTTTGCTTTCTCCTACCTAACTTAAGTTCGATGGTAACTAAAAAATGTAGAAATATTTTGGGAAGAACTTAAATGTGGATGTTGCATCTGCAGATTATTGCTTATAAATCAATATATCTAATGCTTGTCACTAAAGGCTCTTTGTCGTTGGCTCCTGTTTTTCAGTGCAACTGGTTGATGTTCACTTTTGTACATGTGCAAGCTTTGTAAGAGAACATGTGTACGTACTGTCTAATTTTTGCAGGACTCGTGTGACTCTTAAAAGAGATGGAGTTGTTTTAGATTTAGTGCCTCCTCCCACGAAGGTTAACAACCTGATATTTGGGCGGACTTGGATTGATTCACCAGGTGAAATGATTATGACAAATCTAACAACAGGGGACAAAGCTGTGCTATATTTTCAACCATGTGGCTGGTTCGGGTATTTGGAACATCCCTTTTATGATTTCTCTTCTAAAATGCATAATATATCTTAGTGTCTCTTTATGTTCTTATAGATTCTGTGATCCGTTACCCCTGGAAGTTTTAAGTTCTGGTGTAACAGGGAAAACTTTTTATAATGTTTGACTTTGATCTCATTTCAGGAATGCTTGCAATTTTTCCTCCTTTTGTCTTCTTAAAAAGTAGTCACTTCATACATAAATAGGAATACAAAGTTTGAATACTTCACCGAAATGCTAATTGTGTCCCGCAATTTTGAATACATTCCCGTAAATTTCACTCAATTAGAATAAATGTTATTCTTTCTTGTTTTTTTCTTTTCTATTTTTTTATTTTTGAAATTGAGGGTGGGGGATTTGAACTCTACACCTTGTGGTGGAGCTAAGTGTGGACATACCGCTGGGCTATATACCTGTAACCACAGATGCTTTTCTTTTTTGAGTTCTCTTATGTATTCGTTAAAATTACTCCTGCTGCTGCAACTATTGTGGTCATTGAATATATTTTCCCCATTCTTGAATTCCGCTTTCCCACTTTAGTAGTATTGTCTTAAAAGTTAATATTTGGTTTCAGAGCTGGTCGCTATGAAGTGGATGGATATATTTATAATGCTGCCGAGGAGCCAAAAATATTGATGACAGGGAAGTGGAATGAGTCATTGAGCTATCAACCGTGTGACTTGGAAGGGGAACCTATTCCAGGCACAGAATTGAAAGAGGTTATTTATGGACCTTCTCTCTCTCTCTCTCTGTCATATTTGTAGTGTGTTTGATACTTTGCATGAAAGGCAAACAAACATAGGATGGGAACAGTTTATCATATTTCCTTCTACAATATGCATGATTTTGAATTGATTACAAGTCAGCATGCTGTCAATGGAGCAAAACCGAATGTTTTTGCAAGAAACATGTGACTTTTGTTTAGGCGACCTGCTAGCTTGTGCAAGCTTAAATGGCAATGGCCAATCTCATTTTTTGAGCACTTGCCTTGGGACTCTCTTTCAGGAACCTATCTCGGTTTTTAGGTTTTATATTTGGTACACAGGAGAACTTTGTTTCGGAGTCTCAAGTGCAGTAAATTGATTCTTTAGTGAAAGTTCAAAAGAATTGGTGGTTCAGGCCTTCAACTTCTGCTTCCCTATTGATTCACGTGTACAAAAAAGAAGACTGATTGTTGCTAGAAAACGGTTTTTCTATTCTGGCAACTGTGTTGACTGGGTCATTCCTTTCGTAATTTACTTATTTATGTTGGGAAAAGAAACTGAATCATCTAGATTTTAATTTGACGGGATCATTATTTTAGACAAGGTTTCTAAGTAAGCCAAACACTTCTTAATAACTTGTATCTGACATTCATGATTCACTTATTTTCTTCAGCTGGTAAATAAATTATCACGATTTGTGCTGAAAGCTTCTACTCTGCAGGTTTGGCATGTTGCTGATGTGCCTAAGAATGACAAATTTCAGTACACACATTTCGCACATAAAATAAACAGCTTCAACACTGCTCCTAAAAAGTTGTTAGCATCAGACTCTCGCCTGCGTCCTGATAGATATGCACTTGAGCAAGGTGATATGTCCAAAGCCGGTGCAGAAAAGAACAGGTATGCCTCTCTTTAAAGTTCGTTCTCTAATTCTTTTTCAGTGTAATTTTTTGTTGGATTTCATCCTTACACGATTGTTTCTTCAGTTCAATTCTAAACTAGATCTTTCATTTTCCCGTTTCAGTTTGGAGGAGAGGCAGAGAACTGAAAAGAGACAGCGAGAGGCCAAGGGCCATCAGTTTGCACCAAGATGGTTTGATTTGACAGATGAAGTTACTCCCACACCTTGGGGTGAATTGGAAGTTTATCGGTACAACGGGAAATATACGGAACATCGTGCTGCTATTGATGCATCAGGATCCGTTGATGAGGTTGATGTTAAATCCTTAGAGTTCAATCCATGGCAGTATGCTGACTTGTCTGCAGAATGACGCATTCCGGTTTTCATCCTGCTTATTGGAATCTTCTGCAGTTGATTGTTATAATAAACCTGGTGGCGTTACATGTGGAAGCAGTGTTGTTGGTACGATTACTTGGACGTTCCTTAGTCCTAGATTTTTGTTGGACTTGGCCCAGTTTATTTCCTGAGGCAAATTCTCTTACTGTTTATTGTTGGAATGCTTTCCCAAATAAACGAAATAGTGCAAAACTAGAATAGAAAACTGGAAGGGGTTGTATTTTAGCCCTTTTTCTTGTTAGTACTTTGATCAATACTCACCCTATGTAACGCTCTCTCTCTGTCATGTTAATATTTGTAATTTGTGTTTGCTTCTATATTGCCAGTTGCAATATTAAGAGTATGATTTGCCTACGAGGTGGTCGTTTTTCTTTTTCTTTTTCTTTTTTTTTTCTTTTTTTTTTAAGGCAAAACAATTTGTTTGTCTTCAAACTTCGTTCCCCGTGTATTTGTTGAGGTAATAGGGTGTAATCACCCTTTTTTTTAAGGCAAAACAATTGGTTTCTTCAAACTTCGTTATGTTGTTCCTCGTGTATTTGTTGAGGTAATAGGGTGTAATCACTTTTTTGCTAATTACTTAGCACCTGAAGCTTGGAACAATATCGTGACAAGTAAAGAAATATGGAATTTGAACTACATGACACTGGCGTTATTTGAATTAAAATGGAATCTTACCCTATTTGTTCCTCAATAGAATTTACTTTCAGTGTTGAGATTTCTGTGTGACATGCATAAAGTTTTCTATTCAAAACTTGTTTTATCTGTGTGTATATATGGTTACTCAATTATTTACCTGTTAATATATATGATTATTTTAATCATAAGATATTGAATTGTAATAAATTGAATAGTTTTAAAAAAATTATGACAATTAATAAAATCAGATTCTTATCACGTTATATCAGTAAATTTCTATATTTGATGATAAGAAAATATAAGTAATTGTCTATTGAGACAATATCTCAACATATTACAAAAAAGACTTTTAAAGTATCATTTGCTTTCATTTATAAACGTGTCATACTTTTTCCTTTTTTTTCCGACGTTAATATTTTATTATATTTTTCAATATTTACCAAAATCATAATTGATATTTTCTTTATATTTCTTATATTTACTGAAATTGAAATTTATATTTTTACAATATTTTTTTTAAATACACCGGAACTTCTGAAAACTTTTCCCTTTTTTTTTACACCCAGGAGAAATTTGATTGGATTTTTTACCTTTTTATATACATTTGATTTAATAGCCATATATTATTTCCTTTATTTTTAAAATAAATAAATACAACAATAATTTGAAGTTACATCTTGAAATTTTCATTCGCTTCAATTAAAAAGTAAAACAAACTCTTCAAAAAAGAAAATTATCAAATGAACACTTGGAGATTTTGACATTTCCTTATTCGAGAAAGGAGGGAGTTAAATGGAGTTAACACAAGGACCAATGGCCATGGAGCAACTTTTTTGGTTAGTTTTATGTTTTAAGGGCTCCTCAAGCAAAAAGGGTGAAAAAAAAATTTGTTAGAGCGATCAAAAATTTTAGGGGTTTTCTTTGCATTTTTGAGTTAGAGTAATTTGAGTGATGATTTTGAGTTGTAACTTGAGTTGAAGTTGTAACTTCAGTTTGTGTTTAGATGTGCACATTTGAGTTATGATTTGAATTGATAATTTTTTTGAGTTTGTGTTTGGGTGGGTCAAAACTTAAATTTGTATTTAGATAGTATTTTAATAAAAACTCAATAGTGATAAAAAAAATTTTAATAGGATATATAGGTGAGGTTTTATTCATCTTTTCGTTGTGAATGCATAGAAAAAAAAATTATCTCAATCAGAATTAAAACGAAAAAGTTATGACATTTTTAAGAATAAAAAAAATATTGTTCATTAATTTGAGTTCGAGTTGAAGGGAAAACTTGAATTCGAGTTTAGCCCCAAACTCGAGTTCAAACTCAAATTTTATAAAAGAACATGAACTTGAATAAACTTGTAACTCGAGTTCAAACTTTTTTTGAGTTTTGTTGTAAAAGAACAAACCCTTAGGGGTTGTTCTTTTGCGTTTTTGAGTTAGAGTGACTTGAGTGATGATCTTAAGTTGAGTTTTAGTTATAACTTGAGTTGAAGTTGTAACTTGAGTTTGTGTTTGGATGTGCACATTTGAGTTTTGATTTGAATTGAGAATCTTTTTGAGTTTATGTTTGGGTGGGTCAAAATTTTAATTTGTATTTAGATAATATTTTAATAAATTCTCGATAGTGATGAAAAATTTTAATAGGGTATATGTGTAGGGTTTTATTCATCTTTTTGTTGTGAATGCATAGAAAAAAAAATCATCTCAATCAGAATTAAAATGAAAAAAATTATAGCATTTTTAAGAATAGAAAAAATATTGTTCATTAATTTGAGTTCGAGTTTATAAATTCGAATTGAAGGAGAAACTTGAACTCGAATTTAATTCCAAACTCAAATTTAAACTTAAATTTAAACTCAAATTTTATAAAAGAATATAAATTTAAATAAAATTATAACTCAAATTTAATTTTTTTTTTTAAATTTCGTTGTAAAAGAACAACTTAGAACTTAGACAGGGAAAAAGAACCCGTTCCAGATAATTGCATTCCCAGATATATGCTACACTTGAAAGTTGCAAATTCCTTTTAGAGGAATTTGCTTTGTATGGAATACTTTCCAGAACCCAATCGGCAAAAGCCGAAACAAATTGATTGACGTCTCTGTAAACTGAAAGTAAGGCTTCCTTACAAACAAGATACAGACGTACGGAAGAAATCTGTTTAAAAACATGTCAGAAAAGTCCTTTCAAAAAGAAAACTTGTCACACTAGTGGGTGGCCGAGTGACTTAAACCAAATTTATACGAACAAATAAAAAAAAAGTGAATTGTACTAACCAACAATACAAGATGTCACACGTAACTGACAGTTTTCTGTTCAAAACTTGTCATCATCACATTGTTGTGGAACAATTTTGGGAGAACCCAGAAGGAAAATCATTGTCCCATACAAATATGGTAAGAACTGTAGTACGTAGCTTTGTGTGGTCTGTGCTTTGGCCCCAACTTTTTTTTACCCTTCATAAGGCTGCATTTGCCTTTTCCCATCACCAACTGAAATGTATCATCCAAAGTTTGAATTATCTTTTATCTTGTCAAACCTGTGAATTCGAGAATAACTTGGTCAGTACGTAATCATTCCATAACCTTTCTATTTCTATTTATAGAGTTTTTATTCATGTTGAATATCAAAATCACGTCGAAATAAAAAAAAAAAAGTATAATTGTTGTTCTTTTTTTTTTTTTTTCTGAATGAAAAAAGGCTCAAGTGGTGCACATCATTGTCCAGCAGCCCCTTCAGCCTATGGCAATCCCAAGGACCATTGCCGCTTAATCGGGAGGGCCTAAACCAGGACTTCCTACAAGCCCTCGACGAAAGTAAAAAAATTTAACTGGTCCTAATAAAAATTTCACAGTTTAAAATTGTGTTTCAAAATATGAAAGTTTAGTCTTTGATGTTTTTATTTAGTGAAGTTGCCTAATTTTCTCTAACCTTGCATAAAGCATGCTAATTAGCAACTTAGCATGGTTCCATAACTCGACCGCTAGATCTCATATTCTGAAGATATCAAATTATCTCAGTTGATCCTTCCAAGCTTTTCTTTCATATATCCTATATAAATTGATCCCAATGAGTTTTATTCCTTCTTTTTTCAAAAGCAAATGACCCTTCAATATTAATTATAATTATTATTTTAATTATCATCTCGTTCTTGTTGCGCTACAAATAAAGAGGCATTCCCTGTCTTGCAACCGCCTAATGAAAACAGCCAAGTAGCACTAAACATGCTTCCAATTTCCTAAATTCTTTTCACCAAAACCAAAGGTTTACACATAAATAGGCAGAAGAAATTATCTCAAATCACACAAATAATATAGCAGCTTGATCATGAGTACACCTAATTATTTAAGGGCAATTTTTAAAAATACCTTTAGAAATGGAGTTACTTTTTATTTCTATCTCTTAATATTAACTCATATATTTTTACTTTTTAGACCACAATTAATCAAGAGATAGAGTTTTTCAAAATAAATATTTTTAATAAGTCAGGTATTTAAAAAAGTAGGATCTGTAATTTTCTTATTAATTAATCCTGAGAATTCCCTCAAACGCCATGCATGCACTTTTATACCATGAATTCAAATTAGGAATCCATGAGGTATTTATTAGTGGGGTCACTAATTATCACCATCATTGTCATTATTATTGTTAAGTTCATTTCGGGTCTTGATGTATGTTCTTGGGGTGAAATGTTGGCCCGGATGACGCTATGTTGTTTGGCAAGTAGATATCTTTAACTTCGTGATTAGCAACTTTGCTTAATAATAATAATAAATAAATAAATAGAAATAGAGCGCTATTAGAGTTCAAACTTCAAAATTACTACCTGTAGGATTCAAAAACTGATTGATTTGTCGAATAGGGACGTTTGGTTGGAGGATTCAAACCATGATTTGAATCATGGTTCATGATTCACTACAGTATTTTCTCTCACAAAAAATACACGTAAATCGAAAATAATTCTAATAACATGATTCTAATCCATGAACCAAACGTCTCCGACTTCATGACAATCAAATAATTGGGAATAGAAAAGGACCAAACTTAGGAATATGATTGGTCAAGTCCAAGCGCTCCAGCTCTTGTTTTAAAGTTTTCCTACTTCTAACTCCTAGATAAACTCTATCATGTGTCCTCATTATCATAAGCGTGACTGGCAGCTTCCCATAAATTAATAAGAGAGCTAAATCTAAAAATCGAGATTTAATTTTATGATATCACTACAAAACACTTATAATTATACTAAAAGTTTTTCGTCTCATGTAATTTGATGGTTCAGAATTTGTAATATTGATATCTTATCATAACATTCTCATATTGTAATCTGCTCCATGAGATTTTTTTTTTTAAGATTTACTTTTAATCGTAAGATGATATTTCAATTGAATTATCAAAGAAACCAAATACGTGACTACTCCTTTATATTTGCGCTTCAAAGTTGAGTATACGATTCTGTTGCCCAGCTTTTACCAAAATGTTTGGAATTCTCCAGTAAAAAAAAAAAAAAAAAAAAAATTAAGGGGAGGGGAAATTTATAAATTGTTTTTTTGCACTTAAATTCAAAAAAAGTTTGAACTCAAGTTACAACTTTATTTAAGTTCATATTCTTTTGTAAAATTTGAGTTTTAACTTGAGTTTGGGACTAAAATCTAAGTTTAAATTCTCCTTTCAACTCAAGTTCCTAAACATAAACTCAAGTTAATGAACAATGTTTTTTCTAT